ATCAAAAAAATATAAGAAATATGAAAAACATAAGAAGTGTTTATTACATCATAGAAAATATTTTTTTATTTTTTTAAACCATAGCTCATTAATAATTCTAGCAAAACAAGGTAGCATTCATGTAGAGTGATAAGAATAATTGAATCTAAATTCACTTTGGTCTGATTAAAAAATAAATGTAAAATAATTACATGTATTAAAAATAATACCATAAATTAGAGAAGATAGCTCTTATAATAGAGTATATTTTATGATAATTAAAGTCAATTATACATAAGTATATTAAATAAATAAATATATATATATATATATATATATATATATATATATATAAATAAGATGAATTTAGGTCTAAAGTTTATTTTTAATTATAATACTTGAGATGGATCTAATAATTTGTTTATCTACTATTAGCTTTAATTACAATCTTACTATACTTTTGCAAACTTTTATATAATCTCTTTTATTCATCAAGAGTGATTAAAGTCAAACAAACTTTAATACAAGCCTATAATTCTAGTATTTCTTTTGAAAAGGTCTCATATTGGTTCAAATAATATTTGAGAATTGTCTACAGAAGTTTAATTGGATTGTGGTTAGAAGATTATGATGATCACTTGATAAGGCAAAATCCTTGTAAATTCAACCACGAAGTTATAAGATTAGATGTATGCTTTGGATCATTCTTCTATTAAATAAACATATTTTTAAAATTCAAATTATATGGATGAAATGCACAAATCAACTTGCATTCTTAAATCTCCTTGTGAAGGTATCAACCCATTATTCTTTCAATCATGCACATCATGCCATGGCCTTCCACAATCATACAATCCCATATCATTGCTCCTCCATCTCCAATCTTTCACATCTCATGTACTCCTTTGGGTCTCAAAGACTCTCTTACAAATCCAACACAAGCTATGACCATTAGAGCAAAACCAATTTACTTTTCTTTCATCAAAGAGCACAACATGTGCCCATCATCACATGTCTAATGTTCATGATGTTTTGCAAACTCAAATCTTGACTTTATATGACTAGTTGTGAGCTTTGGATTCTTTTGTTTAGCTTTAGATTTTAAGCATGCTTGATATAATATCCTTCACACAATGGAATGAGACACAATAATGTGGGCCTTCTCTTTCATGTAGATGCCTACATTGGATATTGTCTCAAAGCCACCAATATAGATTGATTCCACACATAACTCTAATTTGTTACACAAAACCTTCTTGGTCCACTACCAATACTATAATCTATACCATTCAACGCACGTAAATATTGCTTACAAAGCTAAGCAATAAAAGTTTGGAACACTTGCAAATCTCTGGCAATCTTTTTAATACTATCACTACTCTTAAGCCTTGCTAAAGCATCAACATCTAGCTATTGTCATTCAACTTGAGTGGCATACCTTAATGAGCCATTAAGCCATTTTGTTATAATATGCATTGGTGGTGTATAAGATTATACAACAAAATATATTGCCATCATGTAGATCAAATCACCCACACTAAGTTTGAGAGTATGGATGCCCTTATACACCACCAATGCATGCATGGGACGTGGTTTCATGTGAAAAAAATAAAAAAAATAAAAAATAAAATTCGGGGTCTAGTATTGTGCACAAGATAATTCACTACATGAAGCGACTTTGGTAAAAGATGAAAATACAAAGAAGCTTTCTCGTTGGTCAAAAATGAACAATCCAACACTGATAGTAACAATCAAAGTTGGTGAAATTTGAGTAAAAAAAGACGCTTAGTAACACATTATTGCAATAAAACCACACTTACCTCCAGTTCTAGACCTTTACTGGCAATCTATGTCCAACCAGAAATAAACAACACTTTCTTAGCAAATAGCTTCGTTGCTTTCAGCCCAAGTTGACTACAAAACATAAGAAGTGCTAGAAAGTCAGCTTGTATTTTAATTATAATTGCAACACTTTTGGTAATGGCAGTTCCATACTACAACCGTAAGTCTGTCTCGTAAACTCAAGGCAACTGAAAGAAAGTCTTTCTTCAAGTATGCTTCATCACCTTCGACGTGGTCTCGCCAACATAGGTGTAGATGGACATTCCACAGCTAAATGTCCCCGACCTCCACAATTATTGCAGACCACAACCTGGAAAAACAGCAGATCGAGACACAATGTCAAGTCCGATTTCCATTCCATTACAACAATCCAAATACTGAGCTGGAAGAAATAAAGCTTGCCTCAGTAATGGCAGCAAGTATTTCTCAATTTTCAATAAAAATAAATTGGACAATACTGTAGTTCGTGACTAAAATTAAGGCAGGTGTCACTTGTGATCAGAAAGACTAATACGCTTTAGACATACCTGCAAGCATTCTTTGCTTTTGTGACCGCGTTGGTGACAATTATGACAAACCATATCATTCGGATTAAAAGTAGAAGTAGGTCCTCGAACAGGAGGGGCAGAGTCCATCAGAGGACAATCTCGTACAATGTGACCCGGTTGGCTGCAGCCATTGCACACGGGACTATTGAGGCAATCCCTTACCAGATGCCATAAATTTTTTTATATCTTATGAATGATGTTTTTCAAGAATTTTTAGATGATTTTGTTGTCTATTATCTAGATGATATCTTAATCTATTTTGAGAACATAGAAGAATATGAACTTCATGTTCATTGTGTGTTACAAAAATTAAGAGATATAGGACTTTATGTGAAGATAAAAAAAAAGTATTTATTCCATACTATTCAAGTTGACTTCTTAGCTTACATCATTTCAAATAATGGATGTATGATGGATCCTAAGAAAGTTCAAACTATTATGGATTGAAAGATCTCAAAAACGGTCTGAGATATCTAATGTTTTTTAGAATTTGCCACATACTATCAGATCTTCATCAAGGACTTCTTTCAAATTATAGCTTCTCTTATACATTTGACTTGTTAAGATTAAGTTCAATAGAATCAAGAAGCAGAAGCAACATTTGAAGTTTTAAAGACAACCTTTATTTCTGTACCAATCTTATATTGCATTGACTTTTCTAAGCCACTCTCTATAAAAATAGATGCATCCGACTTTACTTTGGAGTGCCATATTAATATAAATAGGAATAGATGATAAACTTTACTTAGTAGGTTTTGATTCTAATTTTTTTTCAGCAACCGACATTAAGTACAAGATCTACAATAAAGAGCTTCTTATAATTGTGAATACTCTCCAAAAATAATATCATTATATAAAAGGTGCTTCCAATCTAATCACCATATATAGTTGTAAGATAAGAACATCTAAAAAGGGCATTAGAAGCGCCTTCTAGATAATGACACCATTCTTTTGATCAACAAAAGATAATATTATTGAAGTTTCTAATGCCTTTTTGATCAATAAAGGACAATATTATTGAAGCTAGAATAATTTTATCTTTGAGCAATGAAATCAACATTGATTGTTTATTCATATTTTTTCAAACAAATTTAATCAAATATGTCCTCTGATCCTATTGTTCATGATATCAAAAATACTTCTTCTAAGTTTCGTAATACTTTTAAGTTTGAATTCAAGAACAACCTTCTTTATTTTGAAGGATGCCTATATGTGCCAAAAAGAGAAGCATGTCATGACTTTCCATCAGTAAGACATTTTGGATACAATAAGACTTTGGAACTAATATATAAAGATTTTTGGTGGTTGCAAATGTAGAAGGTTGTAAAAGGCTTTGTTCAATCATAAAACATTTGTTCAAGGTCAAAAACTTCTCAGCATCCATATAATAGATTTTTTCAATTATTATTTATTTGAAAAAATAACCATGGTCTTCTATTTCTATGGATTTTATTATAGATCTTCTAGTCTCAAAATCATGTGATTCTATATTCATGATAGTAGATTATTTTATCAAAATAGCACATTTTATATCATATAAAAAATCTATTATAAGAGAAGAAACTGCTAAGCTTTTTTTTGACAACATCTATTGATATTATGGATTGCTGAAAGATATTATATCGGATAGGAGGACTCAATTTGTATTAAGATTTTGGAGAAATCTTTTCAAGATTCTAAAGATGAACATAAAGCTTTTTTTAGCACTTCATTCTCAAATTAATGAATAGACACAACACATAAACCAAGTTTTGGAATAATACTTAATACATACCATCAATTATTAATAAGATGATTGGAGAACCTTCTTGCCATTGGCAAAGTTTGCTTATAATAATACAATGAATTCTTCTATGCAATAAATACCTTTCTTTGTCAATTATGGTTACCATCCAAAACTTGATATTTTTGACTTTTTAAAAGTTGATAATTTTGTGGCAGAAGATTTGATAAATTGTTTGTCAAAGTTGCATGCAACAATGAAGGTGCAATTAAAGGAAGCTCAAGAACGACAAAAGATCAATATGGATGCCTATCAAAAGGAACAATAATAATTTAATGTAGATAACAAGGTATGTTTACTTCGTCAAAATATCAAGACTATTTGTTCTTGCAATAAGCTAGACTATCACATGCTTAGACCTTTTTATATTTATGGACAAATCAATCTAGTTGCTTATTAATTACATCTATCAAAATAAATGAAGATCCATCTTATCTTCTATGTATCTCTATTTAAATCATACAAGATTGTGAATATATCAAAAAGAAGATAAGCTCCACTTCCTCCTATAGAAGTAGACAATAATAAAGAGTTCAAAATAGAAGAAGTTATAGACTTAAGGTAGTGCTGAAATAAATTGGAATATCTTGTCTATTGGTGCGAATATGATATTAGTGAACATACATATGAGCCAGTAAAGAATCTTACAAATACAACAAAGGTGACGGAGGCTTTTCATCGATGATATCTAAGATGAAGAATAAAAATGGAGAATCAACAATCAACGGATTTGACTCAAGAGCCTTTGTTTGTTGACTTACCAAAGGAGACATTACGATTATTACAACCTTTAAGACAATATAATTGAGATGAAGATCTTCAAAAATAACATGTTTTTCTTCAAATTGATGACAAGATAGAATGTATTTGGTATCACGACCTTGAAAAGAATTCGCGATATTTGGTGATTTTACTAGAAGTAGAAACAATTCTTGATGATGTTTCAAATGTTTTATTTGAATGAAGTTATGAAGGCCTCAATAATAATCAAATAATTTGGTAGACTTCTTGCCTTGGTATATGATATAATCTATAGTTGAGAGGCCCCATCAACCATCTTCAAAGAGAACAAAGATCAAAATATGTAGCAAATATAATTTTCTGCATCTTGGATTTCTTCAACATATGATCATCGCTCCTCGTAGAACTTGTCCCTTAAAAAGGAAGTAATGTCATAAATATATACATGTAAACCAATAATTACCTATATGATTAGATAAAAATAAATAAAAATAAGTTAATTCCATAATATCTTCTACAGAAGCTTGTTAAAAGCTTCATAGATGTTGTTTTGAATTTATAGGTGTTTATAATTGACTTTTTAGGTTAGAAACCTAGGTAACAAGTTGGCCATGTGCCACACATATTGGTAGCTTGAAGAATAAGCTAACTATGTAGCCCATATATAGAAAACTTGTCTTGTAAGCTAAAGCATGTGTCCTGCAAAGTCAACACATATTAGAGGTCTTATAGAACATCACCATGTAGCTCCTAATTAGATAGTATAAATAGAGGCATAGGTGAAGCCCTCTTCACCATCATCAATTCTCTTCTTAATTTTAGTCTAGATTTAAGAGTCTCTAATTTCCTTGTCTTTTGGCAATAGCCATTGTAGTTTTTTTTTAATATACATACTATTTTATTGCTATTTTTTCACTTTTCTTTTAACACAGACTTTTCAGGTTTATGTATCTTCTTCCAATTCATGTCCTTGACATAAGTTCAAGTTCATAGAAGATCTTTTATATTTTATTTATATATTCTAAGAAGACCAACGCAACTTTGTATTCTTCAATCTAATGATATTTTTCCAATTTCAAGACATTTTGGATTAAATAAAACATTGGATCTTATTTTTTTAATTTTTTGGTGGCCTAAAATATGAAAGACTATGAAGAACTTTGTTCTTTTGTGTAACATTTATTAAAGATCTAAGAAATTCTAACATTATTCTTATAGACTTCTATAGCCACTATTAATCTCAAAGCAACCATGCTCTTTAATATCTATAGACTTCATTACAAATCTATTGCCATTAACTATATTTGATACTATTTACATTGTTATGGATTGATTTATAAAGATGGCATATTTTATCTTATATAAAAAGATAATTTTTGGAGAAGAAACAACAAGATTTATTTTTAATAATATATATCAAAATCATGGCCTATTTGATGATATTATTTTTAATTAAGGACCTCAATTTACATCAAAGTTTTAAAAATATTTTTTTAAGATATTGAAGATGGATATTAAAATTTTCTTTTCCTTTGACCTTCAAACAAATGATCAAATAGAAGGAGTCAATTAAATTTTGGAGTAGTAATTATGATATACCTTCAATTATCAATAAGATAATTAGAACTTATATTTATCTTTAAGAAAATTTGCTTATAATAATATTCTTCATGCTTTGACTCAACAAGTACTATATTGTTCCAATTATGATTACCATGTAAAGCTTCATTTGTTAGGTATATCAAAGAATAAAAGTCCAACAACTGAAGATTTTACAAAATAATTGTGACAACTCCAAATAATTTTGAAGCTTTATTTATAAGCAACTCTAGATTCTTACAAAGCATCTTCAAATAAATTTAGAAAAAAAATCTTACTTTATAAATTAGAAATATTTTAATAATATATCAAGACTAATTAGTCTTATAATAAGTTGAGCTATTAAAGACTAGGACTATTTTGTATTCAAAAGCAAATTAATCCAATGGCTTAATGATTAAAACTACCTACATTTATGAAGGTACATCCAGTCTTCCATGTTTATCTTTTAAAGGCTTATTCAGAATCAACTATTCTATAAAGAATACAACTATGAGTACCTTATATTAAAATAGATAATCATGTAGAATATGAAATCAAAAAGATCCTTTATTCTTGATAAAAGAGATATAAGTTGGAATATTTTATTCATTGATGCAACTATAATATCAATGAACGTACATAAGAACCAATAAAAAATCTATCTAATATACCGTAAAAAGTATGGGAGTTTCATTGACACTATCCTAAAAAACCTAAATCTATTTTAGGATGACTTTTCTATGAAGCTATTGCTAAGATATTATATAACAAAGAAAGTAGATATGAAATTAAAGCTCCTTATGGAACTTAGAGTTAAAAAGGAAGGTGATGTTTTGAATATCAAATAAAAAGATTTTTGAATATTTCTAAAAGGTTTTTAGAATATTCCAAAAAGTTCTAAAAAATTCTTAGAAGATTAAAGAAGTTGTCCAAAAAGCTTCCTAGGTTGTCTGAGAAGCTTCATTCATCTTCAAGGAACATAAAAACTTCTTAAGAAGCTTTTTAAGGTTGCTTCATCTTAAAGCAACATGGAAACTTTTTTAAAATCTTCTTAATACTTAATATATATTGGAGTTAAGGTTGAAGGGATCTTTAATCTTGACAATACATTTATTGGAACTTTTGCTCATCTTTCTTGGTGTTGATCTTATACTCATCTGATTTAATTGAGTTCTTATTAGCTTTTTTGTTGAAACTCTTTCCTTCAACTTCTTGTTTGATCTCTTATATAGTATATTCATAATGCACTTAAGTAGATTAAGAAAAAGATAGAAATAAATTGATATACAAGCATATAAATATTTATTACATTTTATTAGGCGTTATTAGCTTATTAATTTAATTTTGAAATGATACCTAATTTATTTATTACATATTTTATTTTAAAGTATTATGTAAAGTTGAAGATGATGATTTAACTTGGTTGGTTTTTTGAACTTTGATATTTTAGGCTTTAAATATAAATAAGTTAATAAAGTGATTGCTTGAGTTAAGCTAACAATTGATTCTGCATATGCATATATATATATATATATATATATATATAGTAATATTCAATGAAAAATCTTAAAAAAAATTATATATCAAGAAATTAAATTTACTATTTTCTTTTAAAATAATTCAAAAAATAAAAACATGCATCTTTTGTAATGTAGCTTGTTTTATCTTGAAGAAATTAAAAAAGAAAAATTAAGCTTTAAAGAAATTAGTATACTGAAATTAGTATATTGATCAATATATAGATATATTGAAGGATATTTTATATTAAAATAATTAATCTAAATAACATTTAAAGAACATCATTCTTTAAAATAATAAATTCTAATTTATTTTCAATGAGCATAATCATGTGCTAATGTTCTCATGGTTTAAAGTCAAAATCATGATTTGGTATTTAATCTTCATGAGTCTCTTAACCCGACGTCGCATTTCTTTTTGTCTCTTGTTATAGGTCCACCTGTCTTGAGCCCAATTGGACAAGTTCATTCATCCATGACTTTACGATGCATTTGTCGATGAATGAGGAATGACGGAGGATGTGGAGTTCGTCAACTGCCCTGCCCTGCCCCTCTAAGCCCTAACCATCTAAGCTCTGCGCTTCACACCTAAGTGCTTTGCTTGTGAGACAGCTTTGTTGCCGCTTCCAACACTCGTTTTTCCCTTTGCCCTTTTGCCTTCAAGGCAGTTCATGCGCAAATTCCGTCTCTTTCACGCATTTTATTATTTTTCCCTCACACTTTCTTCCTTTCCTTGTTTTTGTTTTTTTGTTTTTTGTTTTTTGTTTTTTTTTTTTTTCCTTCTTATTTCCCGCCTCGTTTCAGGAGATTTTGTATCGTGCCGCCTTCAAGGTCGTTCACGCGCAAGTTAGTATAGGTTTTCGGCGTTTTTGTGTAAGAATTTCCTTATTCTTTCTACAGTGTATCCGTCGAGTTTTTTGTTCTCACATGAGCAGAAGAGCGGTGTGATATCCACAAAGCTTTGTCTTGGTGGGCAGTGGAGATTTTGATTTCATCAACTTTCAAAGCAGGAGTTGGAGGAGAGAGCGCTCCATAAGCGAGTTCGAAGGTTGCAGAGGTGATTCACTGGTTTTAGTGAGACTTCGTAGTTGCGGTAGCGTTGCTTGATGTTTTTCCTTCCTCTTTTTGTCTTTTTTGGTTGCTGAGAAGTGTTACTATGGATGTCGGAGTGTTCCTTATGGTTTCTACGAGACTGTGTCTGGACTTTTGTGCATTTATAAAGAGGGATACCTTTGATATTTAAAGGTCTAGCTCTTCATCATATATCATGTATTTTTATATTTAGGTAGGAAACTTTCAACAACACCCATTGGTTTTTATGCTTTGCTAATATGTTCCTTACTCTCGCAGGAGGTAGAGAGGCTTGCTGAAAGTGGACAAGGGGGGTGAAGGAAGACGGTCCTTATCTAATCAATCGGAGGACTTAAGAATCAGTGTGAATGTCTGCGCTGGATACCCAGACGAAGCTAGGAATGAGTTTAGATGATCTCGCCGCTCGAGGCGGTGGAGGCCGCCGCATTCAGAGTGGGATAGTAGGGAAGCGTTCGTTTCGCCGAAGCAGTCCTTACAAAGTAATGAACCCACGGGAGGGCAACGGGTTTGGCCCACGATCGGGGCCTTCCAGGTGATGCATTTACTTTCGCGCTGCTTCAACTTCGTCTTCTTGTTCAAACCGCAGACATGGGCCATTTTGCGAAGAAACGTTGTGGACTTCCTGGAAAACTCGAAGTGTCTGGTTTGGAAAAGGACAGAAATGTTGCGGGGCTTGATATGAAGTTTGAAGACAGAAGGTTTGGTTGGCGTTGCACGAATGGCATTTTGGAGAGAACGGATGGATTATTATACATTGGATTGGTCTGAAGGATGGAAAGTGAAGTTTTGGGTTGTGTTGGAGGAATGTCATGTGGGGGAGAACTGGAGGGTTGTTGTCACTTGGGTTGTGTGGGAATGTGGGCAGAGGTACCGGATGAAGGGTGTGAAGGGTGTGAAGGGTGTGAAGGGCGTGATAGAGTGTGGAGATAAGAAGGGGATATTTTGTATGATGAGATGGTGAAGTAGAGAAATGGTTGTGGAGTAGTTGAAGCGGGGTTGTGTGAATGTTGAGGTGGAAGTGGAGTGTGGTGTGACATGACTGAAGTGTTGAAGTTTGTTAAACTTTTGGGAAAAGTAGTTGGTGGTGGTGGTGGTGGTGGTTCGATGGGTAGTGGCCTTTTTAAAATAAAACAAAACCCATCCGAGTTCCGCGCAGCAGTTAATTCACGGGATTTACGCAGACATCCCATGTCTTATTGCTTCGCGGTATCTATAGTCGACAATTTGAGGATTGCGGGCCATGCTTCTCACTTTGAACATGGCGAGGGCCACAGGCTGCACTGGGGGAACTCAATTAGGAGTGGATGTGGTTCAGCTTAAAACCATCTTCTTCTTTATATATTTATGTTTATTTGAAGGATTTTAGAGTGAGAAAGTCTCCATGTTTTTTCAACTCATTCTCAGTTCTTGGAATGGTAGTTTATGCTCGTATGGTTCGTGTGATGTGACAAATGCGTTGTTAGGCTTTAGATTAGGTTATGATCATACTATTCGGATCAAGAGTTTTGATACTATATTGTTTCCTTACAGGGGGGCAGCTCCAGAATTGTGTAACAACTGTAGGCGCACCGGACATTTTGCTCGCGATTGCCCAAATGCAGCAGTGTGTAATAATTGTGGAGCCTCAGGGTATGTGTAAATAATCTTTTTTTATCATAAATGTTTTGATCTGTACTTTCAGTTGCTTAATGGAATGATGAATGCGTACCGCTGTACACTGGGATTTGTCACGGTATCTCTTAGTTGTACATGTATGGAGTGGTAGAGGAATTGTCACCGTAAGATAGTTTGTTCCAGTGTTTCGTTTTAAATGAATGCTAATACGTTGAAATCGATGGTGTTGCAGTTGTTGCAGCATGAGATTAACATTCTGAAGAATATTGTCTTCTATAAATATTTTGTTTCAGGCATATTGCTGCTGCATGTCCAGTGGAGCCTTTATGCCGCAACTGTAAGAAGCCAGGACACATCGCGAATGAGTGTCGAAGCGAGCCAATCTGCAATACCTGCGGGAAACCCGGACATCTTGCCAAAGGTTGTGCAGTGCAGGAAGGAGGGATTCCTAAAGCGTGGCTATGCAATAACTGTTATAGACCAGGACATCTTGCTGTGGATTGTCCCAACGAGAAGGCGTGCAACAATTGTCGCCAGGCTGGACATCTGGCAAGGGATTGCCTCAATAGTCCCGTGTGCAATGGCTGCAGCCAACCGGGTCACATTGTACGAGATTGTCCTCTGATGGACTCTGCCCCTCCTGTTCGAGGACCTACTTCTACTTTTAATCCGAATGATATGGTTTGTCATAATTGTCACCAACGCGGTCACAAAAGCAAAGAATGCTTGCAGGTATGTCTAAAGCGTATTAGTCTTTCTGATCACAAGTGACACCTGCCTTATTTTTAGTCACGAACTACAGTATTGTCCAATTTATTTTTAGTGAAAATTGAAAAATACTTGCTGCCATTACTGAGGCAAGGTTTATTTCTTCCAGCTCAGTATCCGGACTGTTGTAATGGAATGGAAATCGGACTTGACATTGTGTCTCGATCTGCTGTTTTTCCAGGTTGTGGTCTGCAATAATTGTGGAGGTCGGGGACATTTAGCTGTGGAATGTCCATCTACACCTATGTTGGCGAGACCACGTCGAAGGTGATGAAGCATACTTGAAGAAAGACTTTCTTTCAGTTGCCTTGAGTTTACGAGACAGACTTACGGTTGTAGTATGGAACTGCCATTACCAAAAGTGTTGCAATTATAATTAAAATACAAGCTGACTTTCTAGCACTTCTTATGTTTTGTAGTCAACTTGGGCTGAAAGCAACGAAGCTATTTGCTAAGAAAGTGTTGTTTATTTCTGGTTGGACATAGATTGCCAGTAAAGGTCTAGAACTGGAGGTAAGTGTGGTTTTATTGCAATAATGTGTTACTAAGCGTCTTTTTTTACTCAAATTTCACCAACTTTGATTGTTACTATCAGTGTTGGATTGTTCATTTTTGACCAACGAGAAAGCTTCTTTGTATTTTCATCTTTTACCAAAGTCGCTTCATGTAGTGAATTATCTTGTGCACAATACTAGACCCCGAATTTTATTTTTTATTTTTTTTATTTTTTTCACATGAAACCACGTCCCATGCATGCATTGGTGGTGTATAAGAGCATCCATACTCTCAAACTTAGTGTGGGTGATTTGATCTACATGATGGCAATATATTTTGTTGTATAATCTTATACACCACCAATGCATATTATAACAAAATGGCTTAATGGCTCATTAAGGTATGCCACTCAAGTTGAATGACAATAGCTAGATGTTGATGCTTTAGCAAGGCTTAAGAGTAGTGATAGTATTAAAAAGATTGCCAGAGATTTGCAAGTGTTCCAAACTTTTATTGCTTAGCTTTGTAAGCAATATTTACGTGCGTTGAATGGTATAGATTATAGTATTGGTAGTGGACCAAGAAGGTTTTGTGTAACAAATTAGAGTTATGTGTGGAATCAATCTATATTGGTGGCTTTGAGACAATATCCAATGTAGGCATCTACATGAAAGAGAAGGCCCACATTATTGTGTCTCATTCTATTGTGTGAAGGATATTATATCAAGCATGCTTAAAATCTAAAGCTAAACAAAAGAATCCAAAGCTCACAACTAGTCATATAAAGTCAAGATTTGAGTTTGCAAAACATCATGAACATTAGACATGTGATGATGGGCACATGTTGTGCTCTTTGATGAAAGAAAAGTAAATTGGTTTTGCTCTAATGGTCATAGCTTGTGTTGGATTTGTAAGAGAGTCTTTGAGAACCAAAGGAGTACATGAGATGGTGAAGATTGGAGATGGAGGAGCAATGATATGGGATTGTATGATTGTGGAAGGCCATGGCATGATGTGCATGATTGAAAGAATAATGGGTTGATACCTTCACAAGGAGATTTAAGAATGCAAGTTGATTTGTGCATTTCATCCATATAATTTGAATTTTAAAAATATGTTTATTTAATAGAAGAATGATCCAAAGCATACATCTAATCTTATAACTTCGTGGTTGAATTTACAAGGATTTTGCCTTATCAAGTGATCATCATAATCTTCTAACCACAATCCAATTAAACTTCTGTAGACAATTCTCAAATATTATTTGAACCAATATGAGACCTTTTCAAAAGAAATACTAGAATTATAGGCTTGTATTAAAGTTTGTTTGACTTTAATCACTCTTGATGAATAAAAGAGATTATATAAAAGTTTGCAAAAGTATAGTAAGATTGTAATTAAAGCTAATAGTAGATAAACAAATTATTAGATCCATCTCAAGTATTATAATTAAAAATAAACTTTAGACCTAAATTCATCTTATATATATATATATATATATATATATATTTATTTATTTAATATACTTATGTATAATTGACTTTAATTATCATAAAATATACTCTATTATAAGAGCTATCTTCTCTAATTTATGGTATTATTTTTAATACATGTAATTATTTTACATTTATTTTTTAATCAGACCAAAGTGAATTTAGATTCAATTATTCTTATCACTCTACATGAATGCTACCTTGTTTTGCTAGAATTATTAATGAGCTATGGTTTAAAAAAATAAAAAAATATTTTCTATGATGTAATAAACACTTCTTATGTTTTTCATATTTCTTATATTTTTTTGATTTACCAAATTGATTATATTTTAGGATAAAAAACTTTATTTTGTCCATTTACTTATAAATCTTAGATTTTGCATTCTTTTTGCTTAACTAGATAAATTTTGGACATGTTTATAATTTTGAAAATAATTTTTTATTAAATAAAATATAATTTATTTGAATTTTATCATTAACTTTTTATGAACCGCAATGAATTGGATATGACCACTCTTAATGGAGACTATCTAGGTGGCCACATTAAATCAATTTATGCTTTAAAAATGATTTCAGCTAGTTACATTTCTTAAAAGAGTCAACTTCTCTTCTTTAGTATTTATTCTATATGATATCTCTTGTTTATAGATTTTGAAGATTTCTTTTAAAATTCAATAAAACTCTAAAATCAATTCTAAATAGAACAATTTAATGTCACAAGGTGTCATTTATACCAAGGATTTTTAAGATATTTTTAATATTAAAAATTAATTAAAATTTCCTTACAATAAAATATTTTAATTAATATTAATAATAATGTTTTCTTTAATAAAACTCAAAACATTAAAAATTAGAAAAAAATAGTTATCTATTTGTAAATTTAGGTGCAAAATAATATATCACAAGAGATAATATTTTTACTTATGAAAATAGTAAAAAATATCTTTGTATATATAATATTTATCTTTTATGATTTATTTATATTAAAATATTATTTTAAGATTTAATATTGGTTATAAGCTTGTAATTTTTGAATAGTTCTTATAAATTCATAAGATTTTAAAATATAATAGATTAATCTTATATATAATTAGTTAGATAAATTATTAAGATTTTTTTAATTTCAAATAAAATTTTATTAATTAAATTTAAAAATCATATAATTTAAATAAAATTTCTAAAACTCTATAAAAACCACGTTATATTATTATCTTTGAATAAAATTTAATTCTTTGTAAAAATGTATGCATTGGTTTCTTGTTATTTCTCAGTTTCTACAATTGTATGTTTATTGTTGTGGAGAATTCTAATAATCTATTTGCAAAATCTTATACTATATAATTATTGAATTTTAAGAAGTTAAAATTTCTTATTTATAAATATAACCCATTAGCTAAAAAAATGATCTTTGTTAAGTAGATCAATGAATCATCTCATTACAATTTTTTTGGCAATTGACAAAAAACTTATTTAATTTTCTTAATGGTAATTGATGGTATATTGCAAATACTGCTCTAATACTTAATTCATGGATTTTTTTTTTGTTTTATATTTTGTGTTTTATTTTTGTTAAGTTCATATAATCATTAAAATTTAATGTTAATTTAATCTTCATCTTGAATATTTTTAAACATGTTCTAAAACTTCAATTAAAAAGTGGTGTCTATAGATCAAATAAAATACGATTTAAGAATTAATAATATAAAAAGATATTTCTAAAAAAATGTCTTAGTTATTTATTCACCTAAAATGGTTTTAGAATAAGGTACAAAATGTGTCATTTTAACTAAACAACTGACCAAAACAACAATTTAGGTGTTAGAATTTGAGGTTGGTTGATCTATAATAAAACATGGCTATAGTTGATTTAGAATAGAAAATGGTTTTAAAATTCTATACAATCAAAAATATTAAATAAACTCCAAAATCATGTTGAACTTAAACTCTCTTGTTATTGAAAAATCATGTTGTACTCGAAATAAATGTAATTGTACTTAGTTTTATTGAATAAAAAGATGTCCTATAAAATTGAGAAGAATATCTTTAAAATTAAATTGAGTCAAATAAAATAAAATTATATTGAAGTTAATTTCTAATTTAACAAATAACAAGGTTTTTTTAAAAATTTAATTAAAATTTATTAAAAAAAATTGAATAATATATATATATATATATATATATATATATATAATTTATAGTATATACCTTTTGAAGTTTCTAAAAAATAGATTTTTAATAATCATATGTAGAATTTTCTTCCTTTGATGTAAGATAAAAATATCTAAAAACGACATCCAATAGTTAATGTTTTGGAAATAATATATAATATTAAATGAAAATCTTGTCATATTTGTACTTCACTATATTTGATAAAAATTTAAGATACACATCGACATAAGTATTCAAGCTTATTTTTATTAAAATAAATTGTGAATGTTCTAAAAATTCTATCTAGATTAGAATTCCATCTTTAAAATAAATTTATAATTTCAAAGAGTTTTTCCTTGTATTTTTTTTTTATTAATTTGAAAAACTAAAATATTTTTTCAAATAAAGAATAAAGAATAAAATATATATTATATGAATTAAATTATTATAGTTCTGTATTGAATGCAAAGTTTATTATTAATACTTTTATAAATAATGGCTTTAAAAATTTACAATAGCTTAAAATTGTAGTTCTTGTAAATTTTGTTTATCAAACCTTAAATTCTTGTTTTTATAGCCGTTATATTGTATTTTTTATTTAAAGTTATTAGTATAAGTGGAGCAATTAAAAAAAATCATTAATAAATATCTACTAATAGTTAGCAAATTTTTAGAAGCCTTAAATATCTTATACAGTCCTAAATATATATTTTTTAATTAATATAGTTTTTATATTCTTAAAATTTATTTCTATACCATTATCTAAAACAAAATATTTCAAAATTTCTACTTAAATTGTTTGATATATATATATATATAAAGACATAACTTCACATCTTTAAGTTTGTTTTTTTTAAATAGATATTTTTTTAAAAATAACATACAAAAAATTATTTAAAAATTTTATAAAATTTATCATTCATCAAGTATTGCAAAACAATAAAAACATATGTAAGAACAAATATTATTATATTATAGTCAAAATATCTTTGAATAGTTCAAAATGTATCTTTTATTTATTTCTATTTTTAATGAGTACTAAATTATTTAGACTAAAACTATATTTAATATAAATATTTTTTCGATTTAATTGAATAAAATTTAAGTTATTAAAGATAAAGATAAAATTGTTCATGATCAAATTTTTCAACACAAAAGAGTCTATATATATTATTTTTTGAATCTTTGTTTATATTGTTTTATTTGTTACTTATTGATATTATTTTAAAACAAAAGAGATAATTTAAATAAGTATTATAATTTTATAAAAGTAAAATACATTAAAGAAGAAAATCAAATATTAAGAGATTTTATCAGAATCTCAACTAAATGTTAAAATATAAATATACATATTAAAAAAAAAAAGAAATTATGTTAATAGTAGATTAAATTGAGATAAAATGCTACTATATATATTTTTTCTAAAATTTTTAATAAATAATTTGAATTTTAAATATATTTAATTTTGAATTTTTATAAGATATTTTTTTTAAAAAAAAATCTTAGTCTAGACAAGAATTTAGTGTTTGCTTGAAAAACATTTTCTATAGCAATACTTCTATGGTCGCTATATAAAAGTAAAAGAAACTCCTTAAAGAAGTTATTGTCACCACATAATTCCTGTAACTCTATTTTGCATATAAAAATATTTTCTATTATTTCATATACAAGATATTACCTTTCTAATTTATTTTTATCTACTTCTATTCAACTCCACCATCAATATACATGTCAACAATACTAAGCAACTTAAAAATGTACATTGATGAAATTTTTAAAAATAATTTTACTTGAAAATATATAAATATATTTGTAGATATGCTAATATTTTTTGTAAAAAATAATCTTAAAAAATGTTTATAGATTATTGTAACTTCAATAAATTAATCATTAATAGTTCTAATCTTTTCTTTTAAATATTTTTAATTTTTAGTTTACCTAATTATAATAATATATATATTAAAAATATTTTTTAATAGAATATAATTTCATAGGCATTAAAAAATATATTTTGTAATCTTTATTAATATAACTTAAATGATACACTTATTGATCTTTTGAACAAATAAATGGTAATTTTATTTTTAAAAATGATTTAGTATTTCTAAGAAATAAGAATTATTTTTAGGATTCTAAAAATCTTATAGGTAGATATTAATTATGTAATTATTATAAGTCTTTGAAATTAATTATTATTTTTATTATTAAAATATCAAAAAAGACATGATAAAATAAATAGAATTTTTAGATTACTATTTTTAAAGTATTTATTTACTTGGTAGATTTATTTATTTTTTTATTTATTTTATATTTAATCAATAAATTTTGAGGAATTTTTTTAAGGTTTATTAAAGTAAGATTTTATTAATTTTTGTCGGTCATTATAGAAAATTAGAAGAAGATTTAAATATTTTTTAATTTTTGTTATCTAATTATGTGTTTTAAACCAAAAATGAGATTAAAATTATAATTTATTTTAATAAAATAGCTTAGCTAATAGCTAATATGAAACATAGTGATTTTTTTAGATAAATTTAAATATATTATATATATATATATATATATTTATCTATTAAACTATCATATTTATTTTATTTTTTAAATGAATGATGTAAAAATATTAATATTTTTAATGTACTTTTCTAAGTAAAAATCTATCTATCTATCTATCTATCTATCTATATTTTCTAAAATAGTTTATATTCTTTAGGGTTTCACAAATTTTTAGATAATAGAACACAATCCATGATTTATATAATTTTCTTATTATTGTTAAATTTTATTTAATATTTTTTGTTAAAATTTAAAACTTGTGAATTATAGTTTAAGAAAATGATCAAATAAAATAAAGATACAAAGGAGTCATTTAAAGGTATAAAAAACGTATTTACTATAGGTCTTATATTATACCATTTAAATTTTTTATGTTAAAAAATTTACTGTGATTTGAAATATTTTCAATGTTACCGAAAACAGATATCAAAGATATATTGCATCTAATAAATCTACTTCACAAAAGCACTTTGAGTGCCGCTAGCTGAAGAACAAGCTGAGCCAAGGATTTACACGAATTGTTCATGAATATCTTTCCCCAACTTGCAAGCTCGCATAACTGAGATACAGGGACCCCAAGGTAATTACAAGCGATGGACGTAGGTCAATAGTGTTGTAGCAGACGTCATCGATCTGAGGTTCATGACCAGTATAAGCAAATCATCACTCGGCAGTGACGGCGACCTAATGATAACGAATGAATGAAAATGTTGAGTCGATTCAACGGCGGACGCAAAAAAGCCTACGAAGACAAATCGTCTGCTGCTCGGACCGACGGCTCCATCACGTCTTCATGGTCGGGAACAACAAGACCTCCTATTGACAGAAAGAACAGAAATAGTACTCAAATTGTGTTCCAAGGGAAGTTAGTGAAGTGTAAATAGGATTTACATAAAAGTACATACAAGCAGATATAATCAGAAAGGATTCATCATCTGCACAATATAATTACATCGACAAATAAGTTAATCACACCTTGATGTTTTGGGAATCAGTGAGCATCATCGCGAATCTGTCAATCCCCATGCCTCATCCAGTTGTTGGAAGCAATCCGTACTCAAGTGCAGTACAGAAGTTCTCATAGATGGCCATTGCCTCGTCATCTCCATTCTCCCGGTCCTGCGAGGAATCCAAGAAGGATGGACGAATCACTCTCCATTTGAAATACAAATTTCATAACGTAGTAAACGACAAAGAGGAGAAATAGCTATGCACCTTGACTTGATCAGCAAACCGCTCACTTTGAACCACTGGGTCGTTTAACTCAGTGTAAGCGTTGCACACCTGCCACAAAATATCGAGCAGGCTCAGCGATCGTCAACAAACGGATTGTACAAGAACAGTTGTTGAGGCAAAATACATCTGCGGGCTTTCAAAACACGAGCAGATATTGTTTGTGCACCTCGTGTTTGTTCAAAAACAACTCAAATTGCTCCGTTAAGCCTGGAATAGACCGATGCCACTTGGCAAGAGGGCTCCTGAATTGTGGATGAAGCATGATGAAAGTTGGGTTCACACATTGCTCCTCAATGAAGTGGCCTACGAGCTGAGCTCCGTATGAGAAAATGCGTTAGTACACGTTCGCAATAATACAGCAGCGTATGATGCTTTATTTCAAGATTCACACAGACATATATAAAAAGATAAAAATTCGCTTTGTCCAGACCTCTGAAAAAAATACGGGAGGACACGAACAGCAGCATAGCCAGAAAAAAGAATAGAGGAACAAATAGTTAGTGAAAACATACAAAAATTCGCCACATACGGCGTATGCAAGAGGGAGGAAGTTAGATTGAAACTGAAACCACAACTTACCTTAAGCAATCGGGTCGTAGTTTGAGGAGGGGGACATTTGGCATCAAATTTTTCACAGGTTTCAATCAGATATTAACCTCTGGTGACTCCAAAAGCTCCAAGGACTCCGAGAGTTTAATTTTGCCTTCAAAATATTCCTCGAAACCCTTTATCATATCAATTCTCCTACAACACAGCACAACATAGATAACAGTCAAAAACCAGGCTAAAACAAAAACACCAATCAGAAGCACTACATGAACATGAAGAGAAATACAATACAAAACATCAAACAACTGGAGATGCTGCGATGCTGCGATGCTAGCTACAGAGATTGTTGTGGTGCCAACTGCAGAGCTACTTAAGAGTTGATGGCGGCAATCTCTATGTTCCAACCCTATCCCGATACAAGAGCCGCAATTCATTATTTCTCTTTTTTTGCACTGCCGAAGTAGTTGATAGGAGCAAAGTAGCCTTGATTGGCAGACCACCTTTTGCAATCAGCAGCGAGGAGTTTGGGGGGGGGGGGGATCTGCTGCGTGGCGTAGGAGAAGCTGATGACCTGACTGGCGTACACGCCGGATGAGATCGAGGGACCGATGGTGGTAAGAAATGAGGACCTGAGGTTTGAGGAGGAAGTCAGGATCTACTATGCCGGGATGATGGTACAACTGCGAGGAGGCAAGAGGGTGCCGTTCATGATCCAATTCTGTTTTGTTCTTGTGCGTGGATAGCTTAGTTGGGAGAGCGCGGCGACAGATTGACTTGCGCGTCCAAGGTGTTGGAGCAACTGAGCTGTCAATCTCTTGTCTTTTTTGAAGGCAAGATACACTATGCGTTCTTTTGGAATCAGGTGTAATGAAAACATCGCATGCTACGTCACTGTTCATGGAGAGAAAGCTATGCAGTTTCTTGAGAGTGGCTTGAAGGTGAAGGAATACAAGTTGGTGCACCACAACTTACATGTTCACGATGAAGAAGCTGGTGGGGGAGGGCAAGCCGAAGAAGTTTGGGAGGTGATTGGGGTAGTTGACCCAACATCAACAGTGGTAGTCATTGTGCGGGAGTGCAGCTAGTTTTTGCTCTGATTGTGCATGGCGTGAATGCCGCGGTGGATTTGGCAAAGAGCAACCTACTGCAAGACAAATTTGAGAAGGTAAGTTTTTCTTTTCTTTTCTTTTTTCTTTTGTGACCAATACTCTAACCGGCATACATGTATGCAGACGATATCATGTATATTAGTATTCAAGAAGATAATCTGCTCGTAGTGAGCAGTTTTCATTGTAAAAGATAAAAAACGCTAGAATAGAAAAAATATACAAACACCAAAATATCATACTAATGGTTTAGAAGAACAATTTTGTATCACATAAACAAAGATGTAATCTTAAAATATTTTTATTAAAAAAATAATATATATTTATTCATATTATTTTTACAAATTAAGTATATCTAAAAATTAAAAACTCATACGATATATAAAATATTTGATATTTTTATTTTGTAAAATTTGATATCTACTATTATTATTATACTGATGTATTTTTTTCTATATAAATTCTTTTTACATCATAAAAAAATAAAAAAATGTATATAATATAACCACAATTAAATAAAAATAAAAATTCTATGTACTTTATGGTTTTGACTTACAGAATTATCAAACAATAGAAAAAATTCAAAAACTTATAAATTTCTTGTTTACATATAATTTTATTAATTTTTTCTAAAATCTATAATATATATATATATATATATATATATATATATATACACATACATACATACACGCATTCAATTTTTATGAAAAAGAACTGTAATAAAGAATAAAAATGTGGAAGGAAAAAGGTAATTTACAAAAGTTAATAGTTTTACATCAATTTTGTTTCAATACAACAAAGTATTAATATAGCATCTTAATTTGGTATTCTTGTCAAAAATATCATAATCTTCTAAATGTAATTATGATTGTGTTTCTATCTTAAAAAAAATAGTTATAATATCATATTTAGTTTTAAGATTAAAAAAAAGCTATCAAAATAATTTAATATTATAAAAAAAACTATGTATAGTAGAATAGTAAATATATTTAAAAAATTGTGCACCATAAAAAAATTATTAGTATGATTTTATATAATTAAATAATTTATATATATATATATATATATATATATATAGATAGATATAAGTTAATAAATAAAAATCATCTTTTTACACATTACATATTTTTTATTCTTTTATTTTTATTTATTTATTTCTTATTTTATTATTTTAAAATTTTAAAAATTAAAATTATAGTCTTTAATATTTCTTCTTCTTATATTATTTTTATAGTTATTGCTATATATATTATTAACAATATAATTACATAAAAACTTAAATCTAAAAGATTTATATATAAAACTCATATTCGAAGATCAATTACAATGGAGGGTCATTGAATTAAGTGATTTTTCTTTCTCTAATTAGTGGTTTTGAATGCACTCATCTTGGAATTAGAACTTTCTCTATCTTTTCTAAATCTCACATATTAATCCAAATTGATAGATTCAAAAGCAATAAAGTTGGACAATATAAAGTCTTTCAAGTAATTGATCATAGATGGCCAATCTATTTGATTACTTGGAATTAATAACTACTTCTAGAGCAAATATTTTCTTTCTTGCCTTGGAGTTGGATTCAAATATGCTCACAAATTGAAAAAAATATAACCATATTTTTTTTTATTATGCATATGATGAAAAATTAAGCAATAGACATCTTTCTATGCTAACATTTGGTAGAGAATATGATAAAGACATGAATTTAGAGTAATGCATTGTAAGATTCTAGAAATTTATACATATTTTTAAACTTTAGGAATTTTTTTCTATTTATTCTAATACCTTGTTGGAAATGTTTGAAACACCTCTAAAGAAAAATATTAAGAAAAGCAATTAAAATCATGGCTTATTAAACTTGATCAAATTTAATACAATTAGTTCTTTTTGTTTAATACTTTATATTATTTTACAAATTTTAAAAATATGATTGTATATAAATCTATTATAAATTCGTTATAAAATAGAAGATATATTAAAATTACATATAAGTGTAGATATGTTTAATAAGTATAGAATTATAACTATGATAAGTTCATAATAATTCTTTTAGTAATATGTTTTTTTAAAATTTAGCTTTTTTAATAGTATATTTGACACTTAGAGTAATAATGATTTGGTTTGGCTTTTTTACCCAAGATTTATATAGAATCTTGTTTTTATTTTTATTTTAGTATTATTCTATTATTATTGAAATAGATAAAATATAAATAACTTAAAATATCAATAATTAGACCTTGGACTTTGTAGTCAGCATAGCAACAACATGACATGATAAGTATAAAGTTTATTAGTGCTTAAAATTAGCCTCAAACACCGAAGTGCAAATGCTTTACAAGGTGACACATCAAAATTTAGAAGTGACTATCTCAATTCCTTTCAAATAGCCTTCATTTGTTGATTGATGTTGAGGAACAATTTAATAGTTAACTTGCCATTGCAAAGCTTTGTATTCCAATTTGATAAGCCTTATTGCTCAGAAGTGGGAAAAATCTACAAATAACATCAAGATGAAAAATCTCAAGCCAAAAGAAAGAATTGCTTATATGCAAAGTACAAACTATTAAGAGAAGGAAAGACACACAAGTCTCTTAATTTCAACACCTCTTAAGAAATGATACAATTCCAATATAGATTGTCAAATTTTTGATAGAGCATAGGGATACAATTTTTTTTACAAAATTTCAAACTTGGATAGAAAAATATAATACAATTCTATCACAACACTTTCAACTCACAAAATGACCATCAAAAAGCTCACAATCAATTACCTCATTGAATCCAACAATCATGACAATGTATAGATACAAGTTTAAGCTAACAAGAGTAATGCAACCACTTAAGTAATTTAACTCATCACTTCTAATTACTCCAAAGTAATGTGCACTATAAAGCAATGCTTCACAAAGATTTTCTACAAATTGCTAGAAACGTCAGATGGAATAGATTATTTATAAAAATAAAATATAAAAAAATAGATCTCCTAATCTATTCATGCATTATTTACAACTTTTTCATTCTCTAAGTACAATATTAACTTACAAAAAATAAATTATATCCTAAGATAATATAAATAAGATCAATTAAGATTTATTAGAATAAGATGTAACAACAAAGAAACCATATCACAAGTTGTAAGAATTAAGATGCATGTAGAGCACAATTATAAAATAAGCAAATATAATATTATATTTAATAAATTAAAATACAAATTAATACATGTGTACATGTCTTAGATTTCTACTTTAGATGGCACATATTCCTATTATGTAATTATTGCATCTTTTTATGTTTTGTGTAATTTTTTAATTTAAATTATTTATTAGTTAAATTAATCTTGTACCAAAAAAGTACATAAATATTAATAGTTATTATGTGTGTATAGTAAATATTTGTCAAGGACAAAGACTCGATGAGGGAAAATATACACCAAAAGGCTATCTCGATATAATAAGTCAAAATATGAACAAGTAGGTATATTAAAAGGAAACTGGAATGGCTATTGTCACAAGACAAGAAACTAAAGACTCTTGAACCTGGACTAGAAGCAAGAAAGGAGTTGACAAGAGTGAAGAAGCCTTCACTCTTGTCTCTATATATACTATCTAACTAGGGGCTACGTGGCGACGTTCTATAGGACCTCTAATATGTGTTGACTTTGTAGGACACATGCCTTGACTTACAAGGTAAGTTTTTCTACGTGTGGGCCACATAGTTAGCTTGATCTTCAAGCTAACAACATGTGTGGCACATGGCCAACTTGTTGACCACGTTTCTAATCCAAAAAGTCAATTAAAGACACCTATGAAGTCAAAGCAGCATCTAGAAAGTTTCTAGGAAGCTTCTATATTAAATATTATAGAATTAACTTACTTTTATCTACTTTTACTTACTTCTACCTATTTCTATATGTAATTATTAGCTTACATGATTATGGCCGTGACATTACCCCCCCTTCTAGAGACGAGTTCCACGAGGAGCAGTCATCATCTGTTGAGGAAATCTATGATGCGACGAATTGTATTCGCCACATACTCTGATCTCTGTTCTCTTCGAAGATGATTTATAGGGCCTCTCAACCATCGGTAGTGTCCCATACCAGGGCGGGAAGACCACCCAGTTATTTGATCATTGTTGAGGCCTTCGTAACTTCCTTCGAATAGAATATTCGGAATACCATCAGGAGTTGTTCCTACCTCTAGCAAAATCACCAAACATCGAGAGTCCCTTCCCAAATCGTGATACCAAACGCGTTGTATCTCACCATCTGTTCGAGGAAGAACATGTCGTTCTTGAAGATCTTCATCTCGATTGCGTCATCTTGAAGGTTGTGACAATCGTAATGTCTCGTCCGGCA